GCTGATCTCATATATAAGAGGAGTGTATCTATCTCATCTGGAAATCAGCTCCTGCTCTCTTTCCAATGTACATAATCAACAAAACAAAACTCAAGTCAGGATACATGAAGTATATGCAGGCAGGCAAGGAATACCTGCAAGATCAGACTATGAGGATACCCCTCGCACCCTTTCTGGGAAATCAACATGCTCACATGCCTGTCTGTGTGAATGCCTGTACAGAAATGTATGCGGGATGGGGAATTAACAGGAGGGATCAGAGTACTATGTGCGATTGCAGGGTTATGATCTCATTGAAATTACAGAGACATGGTGAGATAGCTGACAGGACTGGAATGCTGCCATGGACAGATATTGGCTGTTTACAAGAGCCAGGCCAGGAAGGTGAGGTGGAGAAGTTGCCCTTTGTGTGAGAGAACAGCTGGAATGCATTGAGCTCTGTGCAGGGGTGGACGATGGGCCGACTGAGAGCTTGCTGGGGCAGACTAGTACGGGTGACACTATTGTGGGTGTTTGCTATAGGTTGGAAGTAGCCTCACATTCTTACAGTGTAGTCCTCCTGGGGGACTTTGGACACAATAATATCGGCTGGAGGGACAATACAATAGGGCACAAGCAATCCACACATTTCCTGGAAAGGACTGATGACAACTTCGATGGAGCCGATAAAGAAGAGTGCTCTGCTGGACTTTGAGCTTACAACAAAGACAGGCTCATTGGAGATGTGAAGGTTGGGGGAAGTCTTGGCTGCAGTGACCAATAGATAGTAGAGATCAGGATCCTGAGAGGAGGGAGCAGGGCAGAAAGTGAGATCACAACACCAGGAGAGCACACTTTGGCCTCTTTAGGGACTTGCTTGGAAGAATCCCATGGGATAGGGTTCTAAAAAAAGAGGGGTCCAAGAGAGGGGGTTGATATTCAAGAATAACCTCATCTAAGCTCAAGAACAATCCACTCCTATAAGCAAAGCCAAGCAAAGGGAGCAGGAGATTACATGGATGGATGGAAAAAGGAGCTCCTGCCAAAATTTAAACAGAAGAAGAAAGTATACAAAAGGTGCAAGCAGGGACAGATAACCTGGGAGGAATTAGGCATGTTGTGCTAGTATGCAGGGATGAGGGTAGCATGTCCCAGGCCCATCTGGAGTTTAATCTGGTGAGGAATGTCAAGGACAACAGGAAAGGTTTTTATAAATACGTCAGCAACAGATGGAACACTGGGGTGGTGTCGGCACTCTGCTGAATGGGGGGGCCGATGTTAAAGGATACAAAAGAAAAGGTACAGTTACAAAATGCTTCAGCACCTCAGTCTTTACTGGTAAAACTGACCATCAGCTACCTCAGACAATGGAGACCAGGGAGAAATAGAGAAAGGATGACTTTTTCTTAGTGGAGAAGGATTGGCTTAGGGATCACTTAAGCAAAGTGGACACCCATAAGTCTATTGCCCCTGCTGAGATATACCCTCAAGTGCTGAGGGAGCTCACTGATCTCATTAAAGGGCCACTCTCAATTACTTTTGGAAGGTCATGGTGTTCAAGGGAAGTGCCTGAAGACTAGAAAAATATCATCCCTGTCTTCAAAAGGGGCAAGAAGGAGGTCACAGGGAAGATCAGGCCAGTCAGTCTCACCTTGATTCCTGGAAAGGTGATAAAACAGGTCATTGTGGAGACAACTTCCAAGCACATGAAGGACAAGAGGTGATAAGGAGAAGTTAGCACCTGTGATGGAATGGCTGGCTGGGGAGAGCAAGGCTGTTGTCTACCTTGACTTCAGGAAGGTTTTTGTCCCTATCTCCTATAACATTCCTATAGCCAAGTGATTGGTGACTAGATGAGTGAACTGTGAGGTGGATTGAAAACTGTCTGAATGGCAGAGCTCAGAGGATTGTGCTCAGCGGAACAGAGTTTAGAGCCTGTAGCTAGTGGTGTCCCCCAGGGGTCAATACTGATTCTAATCTTGTTCAACATATTCATTAATGACCTTATTCATTAATGACCTGCATGATGGGAAGGGCACACACTCAACAAGTTTGCTGATGACACAGAAGTGTGAGGAGCAGCTGATACACCATCCACCAGCAGAAGGTCATTCTGCTATTCAGAGGGACCTTGACAGGCTGCAGAAATGGGCAGAGAGGAACTTCAGGAAGTTTAATAAAGCAAAGTGTGGAGTATCTAGAGTGGAGTAAACCAATGTACCAGTACAGACAAGGGCTGACCTGCTGGAGAGCAGCTCTGCAGAGACGGACCTGGCGGTCCTGGTGGACAAGTTGACCATGAGAAAGCAGTGTGCCCTTGTGGCCAAGGAAGTCAATGTTATCCTGGACTATATTAGGAAAAGCATTGCCAGCAGGTCAAGGAAGATAAGGCCACATCTGGAGAACTGTATCCAGTGCTGGGTTCCCCCGTACAAGCGTGATGTGGAGCTGCTAGAGTGAGTGTGGAGCGGCTACTAAGATGAAGTGGCTAGACATCGCTCCTATGAAATAAAACTGTGAGAGCTGGGAACATTTAGCCTGAAAAAAGGACTGAGAGGTGATCATGTCAATGCATTTAAATATCTGAAGAGAGGATGTAAATAGGTGGGGGCCAGACTTGTGCTACTCAGTAATGGGAGGCAACAAGCACAAACTGAAATAGAGGAGGTTCTGACTGAGTATAAGGATTTTTTTTTTTCTGTGTGGGTGATGAGGACACGTTGCCCAGAAAGGTCGTGGAATCTCCGCCTTTGGGGATATACAAAAGACTGCCTGGACACAGTCCTAGACAATCTGCTTTAGGTGACCCTGCTTGAGCAGGGAGTTTGGACTAGATGATCTCCAGAGGTCCCTTCCAACCTCAATCATTCTGTGATTCTACAAATTCTTCTCAAGTAATAAAGAGAACTGAACAGAGAAAGTTGAAAATACAGCATCTTTGATTACATTGTTACATCTTGTGGGAAGGTACAGTATTTCTACTTCTTTCTTGGGTTGTAGCTCATTACTCTTTTTAGAATAAGCTTTGTAAATTAATATTCGTTGTTATATTGCACCTTGCATGAGAAGCCGAGAACTGTAGAACTTGATGCATTAAAAGTCAATAAAAATGACAATAATTTATTCTCTACACTTCACACAAATAAAAGACATTTTAATATGTAGGGGAAGCAACAAATAAGACTGAAAGTAATGTGATTAGGACAAAACTTGTCACGGAATATTAAATAATGTAGCATTGATATAATTAAGAACCAGAGATAGGGATCCATCAAAATAACTTATGCTAATTATTTCATTTGAGAGTTAATAAAATATTGAATATGTAGCTAGATCCATATTTGTGTCCTTATTTACATATTTGCAGCATTTTAACTATACCAGGACAATGGCTATTTCCATTTCGCTGCTTACAGGGTCTCCCTACAGTGCTAATCAAACTCTGACATCTGACTCTAACACCAATTTTTTTTAAGATAATTAAGCACTTTAACCTAATGAACTTGCATTTCAATCCACTGTATTTATTTAGGGAAAACCCAGGAGACTAGTAATGAGATATGGAGTTTTATACACATTTAGAACGAATGTTCATACCAAGCGCAGGTCAAGATCAAGACAAATCTGAAATTTCATCCAGAACTCATAACACAATGAAGCAAAGGCTGAGTACATTATATGAGATTAAATTTTTCTTGCTCTAATAAAATGTATTAGCTGTTTCAATATATTTCCTGTGTATAGCTCCCCAAATTAAAAAAACCATCACAATCAGCTTTAATTGATGCTTTCAGCAAGCCAAATATTGAATGAAAATGGAGACTGAGTAAGGTTTTTATGACTGTGGCTGTGCCAGGAACACGTAAGGCAGGCAATTGAAACAGTAGGAGGAAGCTTACAAGTGCCATTGCTATATTTTTGCATATTAGCCCCAATTTCTGTTTCATCAGCACTGAATTCCTTTACACAAATGATATTGCCGAGAGTCAGAGGCAATTCCATCATTCTCAAATCCCTGCTTGTGGGCAGACTTATCAGGTGAAGAGTTTCACTGGGAAATGCATTATCCGCCTATTCACAGCAAACCCCACCAACAAAAGAGGATATAACCTGGCTATTTTTCCTCAGCTTCATAAAATGTTCATGAATGTGCAAGAAAAGAATCATTGCTAGGAATGAGATTTTTTTACCATGTCTTTCTGGATTTTTTCTTCCAATGAGAAAAAGAAAAAAACATTTATATACTCTTTTTTTTTTCCCCCCCAATGAAGTAAATCAAAATTTTTCAAAAGGATTTTGGATAATTGGATTTTTAAAAATAAAAAAATTAAAAGCAATTACAGCTCTGTATAGAACTCAGAGAAAGGAGTTAAACCTTAATCTCCTACCTCTCAGGTGCACCTCCTAGCCAACAGTTGTTTATTCTAGAAGGATCACTTCCGAGATTTCCTTCTGGAGCAGTTCTATTTTTACAGCTAAGTTATCTTTCATCGTCATGACTCTGTAGTCCATGAACACAGCAATGCCTAAGTGACCAAGCTTGAAGTCATCGTTGTAGCATGATGGGATGATCCCTGTGGAAAGACGGAGACCTCTACATTAATGAACACTGAGCAGTCTGATGACTAGTTGTGCCCCCAGACTATGGGGACTGTTTTCAGTTACTGTTATATAAATATACAGACTCCACAACCTGTCTGGTCAGCCTGTTCCAGGGCTCTGTCACCCTCACAATAAAGAAGCTCTCCTTCATATGGAGATGGAAGCTCCTGTGTTTTAATCTATATGCATTACCCCTTGTCCTATCACTCGCCGAGAAGACTTTGGCACCATCCTCTTTACAGTGTTCCTTCAGGTATTTATACTTACTGATAAGATTCCCTCTCTATATTCTCTAGGCGAAACAGGCCTAACTTGCTTAGTCTTTCCTCATGATGATCCAGTCCCTTCATCAACTTTGTTGCTCTACAGTAGATCCTCTCTAGAAGTTCCCCGTCCCTCTTGTACTGGTGCGGCCTCATCAGAGCTGAGTAGAGGGGGAGGATCACTTCCCTTGACCTACTGGCAACACTCCTCCTGATGCAGGCCAGAAGTCCACTGACCTTCTGGGCCACCAGGGCACATTGCTGACTCATAGTTAACTTCTGGTCCACCAGGACTCCCAAATCCCTCTCTCCGGAGCTGCTTTCCATCAGGTCAACTCCTAATCTGTACTGATGTCTGGGGTTATTCCTCCCCAGGTGCAGGACCCTCATGTTGAACTTCATGAGGTTCTTCTCTGCCCAACTCTCCATGTTGTCTAGGTCTCTCGGAATGGTAGCACAGCCCTCAGGAGTGTCAGCTGCTCCTCCCAGTTTGGTGTCATCTGCAAACTTGCTGAGGGTGCACTCTGTGCCCTTGTCCAAGTCATTGATGAACAAGTTGAACAGCACCAGGTCCAGTACTGATGTCTGCGAGACACCACTGGCCACAGGCCTCCAACTAGACTCGGCCCCATTTATCACCACTCTCTGAGCTCTGCCATCCAGCCAGTTCTCAATCCACCTCACCGTCCACTCATCTAACACACACTTCCAGAACTTTCCCATGAGGATATTACGAGAGACGGTGTCGAAAGCCTTGCTGAAGTCAAGGTAGACAACATCCATAGCTCTCCCCTTATTCATCCAGCCAGTCATCCCATCGTAGAAGGCTATCAGGTTGGTCAAACACGACTTTCCCTTGGTGAATCCATGATGACTAGTACTGATCACCTTCTTTTCCTTCATATGTCTAGAGATGGTCTCTAGGCTGAGCTGCTCCATCACCTTTCCAGGGATGGAGGTGAGGCTGACTGACCTGTAGTTTCCCAGGTCCTTCCTCTTCCCCTTTTTGAAGACTGGAGTGTCGCTGGCTTTCTTCCAATCCTCTGGCACCTCCCCCGCTCTCCATGACCTCTCGAAGAAGATTGGGTATGGCTGAGCAATAACCCCCGCCAGTTCCCTCAGCTCTCTTGGGTGCATCCCATCTGGGCTCATAGATTTGTGAGTGTCCAGTTTGCCTAAATAATATCTAACCCAATCCTCCTCAACCAGAGGAAAGCCTTCCTCTCTCCTAGTTTTATCTCTTGTGTCTGGGCCCAGTAATTCATGGAGACTAGCCTTAGCAGTAAAGACAGAAGCAAAAAAGGCATTTAGTAACTCTGCCTTCTCTATGTCTTCCGTCACCAAGGCACCCAGTCCGTCAGCAGCAGGCCCACATTTTGAAATGACCAAACCATCTGGAATGTGGCATTGGTACTGTTGAGATCCAATAAATTGGGAATACAATATGATCTTCTCATTCATTTTGTGTAACATGCTTTCCTACATTGATTTTTAAAAGTGTGTAAAAAAAATCTTTACTGGAATAACAGTGAAAAGAAACTTTATCATCTTGTTCTGAAAGATTACAGGGCATTTATAAAACAATGTGACCATTTTAGATAATCCATTGTTTCATTTTTTGGCCTCTTTACAGTTCTGAGATGATACTCCTTTTATATTTTATTCTTCAGTCATTTTGTTTTGTTTCTTTAAATCTGTCTTCCACATCTAAATCTAGGCATAAGCTTCCTGTTAAACACTCCCTATTTTTTGAAAATAATCAACTGAAGAACCCACAGAACTGATTACAAAGGAAACAGTGGCAAACTAGCCACAGAAAATTAAATATTTGTACATATTGCTTAATAAATCAAAAAATCTTGTCGTTTTCTTATGATTTATATGATGATTGAGATATAATATTGTAGCACACTGAGAATTTAAACCTACTGATATCACTACAAAGAGATAAGGGCTTCTGAAAAGAACACCTATGTGTCCTTTTCCATTATACATTATAGTGTATATACACCGTATATTCACTATTAAGTGGCTCAAATATACTAACAGAAATATAATCAGAGATCTGCAGCCCACATTTCTTGCCTCTCGAGATTTCCACGTCCCATCTTCATTGTCACACATCACACATCAATAAAGCATATACAAATCATCCATAAAGCATATATTAAGAAAAAACAAAAACAACATGATAGCTCTGATTACATATACAAGCTTCTGCAAAATCCTATTCCTGATTTTTCTTACTACAAATATCGGATGATTTAATGCTGAACTTGAAAAATGGGATTTAATATATGAAAACATTATTGCAGTAACTGAATTTACAAAGTGATAGTGATACTGCCATTTGATATTTATATACACAGGTACGCATATTTATATGTATACGTATATATACATATAATGTGTATATGTGTATATATACATACACATATAATGTATACACTCGTATAGAAGCTTTCAAATATATTTCATTGTATTGACTCCAGTAAAAATACACAGATGAAAGCTTCTTTTCAGAAAGTTTGTGACACTTGTTTGTGGTTCAAACTTTTATAGTAAGGAGACTCTCATATCAAATATTGCATTAAGCTTCAAATTCAAAGAAATCAGTGGCATGTTTGACCAGATTAGTATTCCCTAATTTCAGACTTATTGTAAAGAAGATAATATATTTAAAATGCAGAGGAAAGTATTGAATTAACATCTTATAGATTAATGATGTGGCAAACAGTTGTTTGTTTCTATTTCATGGTGATCCCATGAAAACATCAGTGGTCCATCTCTATCTATTAGTCACAATTCGGTGGCAACAAAGATCCAGAAGAGCCAAATGCAACACATCCCCAGTCATGCTGCACTGAAGAACTGATGAAATATTAATCACTCAGGCTCCACATGCAAACTATAACAAAAAAGAAAGTCAAAACGAAAGAAAAAAAATAAGCACAGTAGGGGTGCTGTACATTAGCATCAACAAGACACTTTTAAAGGCTAAGGCAAAATGCGGCAAACCTAACCCCACATGTTTGTAATTTTAAAGCTCTTGTCATAGCTAAGTAATAGCATGGCCACAGCAGGATGCACGAATATTAAAGGTAAAAGCTCTCCTAAGGGGTGAAGAGGTAATCGTGCCAAAATGTGAAAAAGCCATTTATCTTTTTTTTTTCCTTTATTTTTGTGAGAGAGAGAGAGACAGAGAGAGTGCTCAAAGCATAAGGACTGGATTTTTTACAGAGATTCATTTACTGCTATTATTTTTTTCCTGTGTGACTGTTGAAAGCCTTTGACTATTATATACTATTGCAGGAATTTACTGTGGTGTTGACATTTGGTCCCTCATACATATGCTGATTCTTGCTGTCACTGAAGTGAACAGCGTTCTGCAAGTGACACAATGCAATCTCTACAATTCAAAATCTGTTCTGAATGAAATACTTCAGGAGTTGATAATGACTTCCTCAAAAAAATAAGAAGACACTATGTTTGTGAAAACATGTGTGTGTGACAGAAATCTTGTAAGTCATTATATTTCCCAGTGCTTCAGATTTTCCTCCCATAGTAGACGAATAAAAATTTCAGATGAAATAATAATTTGCACTTCAGTTCTTTTTTCCAAATAAGTTTTTGACACAAAATATTTCAAGATCAGACTGACATCACGTTGCATTCACCAGTGAAAGCAGTCCAGCAATTACATTTTGGACGTTTTGGAGCCTTGAACATCAGTTAAATCCTTCACAACATCTTCAGAAGATAAGTTTTGGAAACAAGTGCCATAACTATGACATACTGAAAATCATGAATTCCATAAGACATTTTTTTAATACATCATAAATTTTCTACATGCCATGTTTACTAACTCCTGAGTGTTACATGTGCATTAATTGCCTGTATCTCCATGTCTGTCCTAGACATGGAGTTTATTGTCTGAGACATTGATTACTGTCTGAGAATCTCACTACTAACAAAAAGCTTAGTGCCAATTTTTCCGGGTATGATCACTAATTGGTGAATTTGGTATGCATGTGAGAATATGAGAATATGTAGACATTACTCCTTAACTTAAATGCTAATCTCGGTTATACAAACATCTGCTAGGTTATACAAAAGTCTGTGTTTCATAAATATGCAATGACATAATCCAGTTATCAATTCATGCTTTATACATTGATATTAAGAGCTAATAAATAGAAACCACTTGAGCAAAAGACTTTTGCCAGTAGCCTTTGATGCTTAAAAGGTCTTTACTCAGGAAATTCCAGCAGTGGCAGGCAGGCCATAATGCTATGGACACTGTTACTTCCACAGTCACCAATTTTTGTATTTACTGAAATTTACAGTCACAGATTTTGTATTTACCTTGTGGTAACTAAAACTTGTTAAAAGATTACAAATGAAACCAACTTGCTGCTAATTAAATTTAAAATATAAACAGATTATTAATATGGGTGAAAGAGAAAGCAAACACGGATGGCACCTGTGTCTGTTAAATTATTCATTGTCGCAATGAAAATCTGGGAAACAAATTATAATCTGAGTAAGTTTTCAGTTTTTGCATAAGGTTTATTCAAACTAGTGGATATTAACATCAGTAAAACATATATCAGGCCCTTAGACATAAAACAAAATTAATGAGCCATGGAGGAACATAAAAAAAGTTTGTATAACATTTTTTAACATGCATCTAAATTGCTGAACTTCATTCAGTTCTATTTTTTCCCATCTTGCTATTAAGATTTTTTTAATCAAACTATGATTTTTAAACATCAAAAAAAATAGAAAAAATGCAAGACAGTTGAATTTGTTTCACATTTTTCCTAGTGCACAATTTTATATTGGGTTCTGGAGTGTAATATATGATGGCTAAAAGTAAACACACACCATATCAGCACAAGTAATATTTAAAAAGAATTCAGAAAAGTCCTGTTAAGTTGAGGATAACAGTGAAATCCCTCTTTTTCTCTAATACCAGGCTCAAACTTTCTGTTTTTGTAATGGTTGATTAGGAAGTCTTGTTGCATCTCATACTAGATTGATTTTTGTGCCAAATGCATAAATGAAATGGGAGCTTTCAGAAGAGAGAAAGGATCTCTCTTACTAGATATCAGCAAAAAATCATTACAGTCCTCTTTCTCTCTAAATTGAAACTCTTCTGCAAACGGCACACTAAAGGCCCCTGCCATTTGACCTCCGCCCTGTCTGTCAATACTGAAATATCTATATATTAAGGAAAAGCCTGGAGATTTGTATGTTTCTTGAAGCCCAGTAAATACAATTTTATGCTTACTAATAAAAAGCCATGGACTTTTTATTGATGTGACAGTGCAGGGCCTCGGGACTTCTGTGGGCCTGTCTTGGCCATACAGGTCTTGGATTGTTTGAGTAGTGTTGACCATCGTGTCACTGTCAGTTTGCCTCTGTGTACATTTAGAACAATAGCAAGAAGCTGTTCTGGGCATAGAAAACTGTCTAAGACTCTAAAAAAAAAATGTCATGAAAATGGGAGAATCCAGGATATCAGGGTCCCAGACTGCAAACACCAAACCCAGCAGTTGGTGGCTGCCACTTAACGAGGACAACCCTCTGAGTTAGGTTAAACTGATTCTAGGAAAGGAAACTGAAAAACAGGTACAACACTGAAGCAGAATCCAAAGAAGACAACACAGACTTTGCTAAGGAAACCTATAAAAAGAAGACCCAAGCAGAAGAAAAAGCATGAGCATCACATGACTCTTAGCAAAGGAGTTGAGATGCTGATGCCTTCTTGAAATAGCCCTGTCACTATCCTGCTTGGGTAGGCTCACTCATTAACTTAAATGCCCTGGGGAATAGTGCAAGTAGAACCTTGACACCAATGGAAAAGGGGCAGGCGCTAGAATTTGAAAATTCAAGCTCCATTATCAAATATATATATTTTTTTCTCTGTATTAATTTACTAATTTCATCTGCAGGCATTAGTGCCTTTGCAACTGCACTGAAAATTATTGGATGTTCTGAATCCAACAGTTAATATTTTACCTAGGCTTATAATAAATTCTTGTCACCACATATAAAGTATGTTTGGTTATATAAAGTATCATGTTATATAAAGTATCTTTTGTCATAACAAGATCCACATCCTGTCCCCCTTTTCAGCTGTACATAGTAGGGCTATTTACTAACATTTACTATTGTAGTCTTCTGTCTTCTTTCATTTTTCAAATATCAGTTATCACCTCTGCTTAGATGTTTGAGAGCAGTTCTTATCAGATACAAGACAAATGTTCTATTACTGTAGAATAAAAAGAAACAAAATAGCAGTGTCTGGAGGTAACTTTTTTTGAAAATAAAATAATACATTATTATACACCTTTAATAATGCTACTGCAAATTTTTAAAGATCTCTGGTTTTAATTTTTCTCTTTTTTAATGAAAAATGGGCCCTTACTGTGAATTCTGTGTCTTATGGAAAGACA